CCTCTCTTTCGATGGGCTAATCCCACTCGGGTAAAGAGTAGATAGATAGACAATGAGAGAAAGAGGAGTGATAGTGTAACCGTTTCCAGCAGAACGGTTGTCGATGGATTGACTGCACTTGTCTCTTTGACGAATTCGTAGCTTGGTGCGGCGAATGGCAAGGCTTACTGATGATGCCGACTACGATGCCGGCGAAACGTTTTAGAATGTATCAAGTCCACTGTCGGATGCTAGGAATCATGACAACTACTATGGCAGACGACTTCGGACTAGGTGCGTTCTACATGGTCCCCCTGACAACAAGAACAAGTTGCGACAACGAGGTCAACCCACTTCTATAAATCGAAAGGAGACTGCGACCATACCAGAGGCCACAACATCTTGGTCTTTATAACTTCAATATGAGTAAACTTTATGTTTCCTTTGATTTTCATATGGCTTGGCCTGCCAATAAGATTTCTCTTATAGAGTGGACTACCATTTTAGCCTCTCTTAGGTCTTTTCAGCACCCCGAGAGGGTTTATAACAGTGATAGTACAGCGTATAACCTCGACACTTTAACCACTACACCACAAGTGCCCTTGAGCCATAGGGCACATGCGAATTTCAAGGAAGGCCAGGCCTTTCCCAATATCTTTTGTGGGTTTTTCGATGAAACAGTGGCCGATTGCAGTAGCATTTCATATATATATATAAACAAAAAACTTATAAACTAAAAATAAGTTATATAGTCAATAGCTATGGCAAATACAACTCCTAATCAACGACGAACCAAACAAAAAATGCCGTATGGGAAAATGCCTTCCCTCCCCTGGAATTCATATTTTCCCTGTGACTCAAGAAAAGTTGGGGCAGTGTGACATCGTGGGTAACGTGTCGAGATTGTACATTGAACCAGCATTGTTCGTTTTCCACTAGGGGTACTGATGGGACCTAGGCGAGATCGAAACTGTAGCAAACCTTGGTTTATAAATCCTTTTAGGAAGCAAGATTATGTGAAATTCAATGGAAACGTAAAACCTTCTATTATCGCTGTTGGAAAATTCAATTGCCAGTTTTTCATCAACCTAAACGAAATATGGTGAATACATCCTATCTGTATGATCTTTTGCTAACCTTGAAGACCTACTTATAAATGAAAAATATGATATATATACTCATAAAGAAAAATACTTATATATCGATGGATATAAAAAGGTATTGTTAATTTTTTGTTTCTTGAGCGTGTATGTGTGTTAAGGTCTGTTAGTAAAGACGGCCATAACCTATAGGAATTTCTAAAAATGTCCATCATCACACCCTAGTCCTCAAGGCTTATTGACTTACGAAAAAGTACGCCTGTGATTGCGTATTAGTGTACTTCTGTTTTAGTTAATATGCTCAACATGCCTGTTGAGTGAATTTGAGTTCAGTTAGAACTATCACTCAGCTGACAAATTGAGTCACTTACTTTTGGACAGTGGTCGACCACCTTCTCTCTTATTCAATCTTTCGATCAGACATAAGTACTTCTTTGAAGGTATGAATACCAAGATGGTGTGGCTTATAGTATGGTCGCTGTCTCCTTTCTTTGTATAGAAGTTGTTTAATTTTGTTTTCGCAA